CTGAGGCTGAGGCTGAGGCAGGCTGAGCTGAGGCTGAGGCAGGCTGATGCTGAGGCAGGCTGAGGCTGAGGCTGAGGCTGATGCAGGCTGAGGCTGAGGCAGGCTGAGGCTGAGGCCGAGGCTGAAGGCAGACTGAGGCTGAGGCTGAAGCAGGCTGAGGCTGAGGCTGAGGCTGAGGCTGAGGCTGAGGCTGAGGCTGAGGCTGATGCTGAGGCAGGCTGAGGCTGAGGCTGAGGCTGAGGCAGGCTGAGGCTGAGGCTGAGGAGGCTGAGGCTGAGGCCGAGGCTGAAGGCAGACTGAGGCTGAGGCTGAGGCTGAGGCTGAGCTGAGGCAGGCTGGCTGAGGCAGGCTGAGGCTGAGGCTGAGGCTGAGGCTGAGGCTGAGGCTGAGGCTGGCTGATGAGGCTGAGGCTGAGGCTGAGGCTGAGGCTGATGTGAGGCTGAGGCTGAGGCTGAGGCTGGCTGAGGCTGAGGAGGCCGAGGCTGAAGGCAGACTGAGGCTGAGGCTGAAGCAGGCTGAGGCTGAGGCTGAGGCAGGCTGAGGCTGAGGCTGAGGCAGGCTGAGGCTGAGGCTGTGACTGCGACTGCCGTTGTCACTGCGACTGTCATCGCTAATGCGACTACGACTGCGAGAACAGCAGAATTCTACAACTGGATTCTCATCCGAATCTTAAGGGGAATGCTTCCAGATATGCTCCTACACATCGCTGTTAGGTTGCTTTGCCGGGATAATTTTGGAATGCGCGCGCTGAGGCGCGCGAGTGTGACCCGCATGGTAATATCTGGCAGGGTTGACTGGAACGAACCACAACTTATGCGGCTGGCAAGCAAGCGTGCAATGACTTCAAAATGACCTCGACGCGCGCGCGGTGACGCGCGCGTGGCCCGCATGGTCTGATCAGATGGGGGCGGCAAGGATCATGCTGCCTCCTCCGGTCTCAGAAAGTGCTCCCACGCGAGCACCACCGACACGCCCCCCGGTGCTTGCACTTCGGGACTCTGACCTCGACCTCCTGAAGGCTTGGGTGGCCCGTGGGCGCCTCGTGCTGGGTGGATACATCGAGTCGGGCGAAAAGGGGGGATAGCAAAGGAGGGGTTTGAGACTCAGCTCACGTAGGTGACTTTCCCGGCGCCTCCCGGCGCCAGAGGCGGCTATGTATCGAGAAATGGGCCCCTCGGTGAGGCCGAAATCAGCTGCATGCAGCAAATTTCGCACCCCCCCCCTTTCCCTAGGGCTCCCAACTTCGCGCTTCGCGCTGCGCGAAGCGCGAAGCGCGAATAACTTCGCGCTCTCGCGCCGCCCTCCCAAAGGGAGAATAGGAGGACGAGGAGGAGGGGGAGAAGGAACGAGGACCGCGAAGCGCGAATAACTTCGCGCCCTCGAGGGAGCCCTTGTTGATGCGCGCCCCCACTGTACTCCACGGCCCTCTCTCGGGGCGCGTTCCGACCTGGAGTCCGAGGCGAACCCAGCGCTGGCGACCAGGGCCTCCCTGGAGGCCGAAACAGGGGGAACACGGGCCAAGGGCAGCTTCAAGTCGGGCCTGTCTCCCTACAGGGGGATTTGCGACATAAAAATAACACATACCCAAAAAGATAATCAACAGATGATCCAAAAATAGTCAGGGGACTATTGGAACGCCGAGGTGGCGCCCGGGGCCCCGTGCGGGCGGGCGCCTCGCCGGCGCCCGGTGCGCCGCGCGGGTCGGCCGAGGCCTCGCCCGGGTGCCCGTGCGCGGGCGCCTCGCGGGCAGCTCGGGCACCGGGCGCCGGGCTGGTGCCGAGGTCTCGCCAGGGGGGGGGGGGCGTCTCGTGCGCTGGGCTTGGGCGTGGCTTAATGGGGGGGTCACAAATGGGGGGGTCAGAAACGGTCCCCTTTCGTGCCCCTTTCGGGCCCCTCCGGACCCCCAGGGGGCTCGTTTAGGTACCGTTTGGGTACCTTTTCAGACCACCCTCGCCACCCCCCCATTTATGACCCCTCCATTACGCAACGCCCAACTCGCGGTCTCCCGCGGGCGCCCGGGGGGGCGACGATCGTGCGCTGGGCGGCCGCAGCGCCTCCACGTCACAACCTTTTGGTTACCGCGTCGTGCGCAGCCCCGCAGCGTACGCCGCACGGCTCTACGCCACGTGGGTGGCGCCGCGGAGTTTGCACCACGCAGCTTGCGCCACACAGCGCGCCCAACATAGTTTGGACCAGACAGCTTGCACCGCACAGCCGAGCCACGCCACACACACTGCTACACATAGCTTGCACCAGGCAGCTTGCACAGTGCATCCTGGGAGTAACTCAGTGCAATGACTCACTGTGTGGGGTCCGCGCTGGCAAACATGCTATTGAACAGCATTCGGCTGTTTGGCCGAATGTTGTACATTGCTACGCTTGGGGACGGTTTGACCACCGCTGGTGTTTGAATGAACTCGACATGCGCGCGTGTGGCCCGTTTGATACGGTTTCGCTGTGGTCTCTCACACGAGTGCACGTGTTAGATTCTTACGAAAGGTGATAGAGCAACCCTACGCCGCGGTGTTCGCGGGCCGCCAGCGCGGCATACCGCGTGGAGAAGAGGGCGCTCACGCGCGACCCTACGCGAGAAACTTGCGCGCGCATGCCCGCGCACTTGAGCCCGTTTCTCTGCGTTGCTCAGATGTCGATCGCACGCAGGATGGAGGAGAGACAGGAGAGTTGGAGGCCTGGAAATTGGCACCAACACCAACACAGGGGGTTGCCTCCACACGCGGATGATGATCCTAGATTTCGGTGTTGGTGGTAATAGTTCGGCCACCTTGGAAGCCAGAATATTACCACCATCACCGAGACCGGGATCTTCTTCCCTCGGTGGAGGCACGCCGCCGATATTGGTGTTGGTGTCAACCTCGAGGCCTGCGAGAAGGGCCCGGGGGCCCGAGGGGGGCGGAGGGGGGCAGCAAGGCCTCGCCAGCCCGGCGCGGACATCGCAGGGGGAGGCGAGAGCGGCGGAGAGGCGGAGCGCGAGCAGGGAGCAGAGGGGAGCGAATGCGCGGCGTGGAAATGTCCACGGCCACCGCCCGTTGAAACGAAGCCCTGGGGCCCCAGCGGTCGGCAGTGACCGGTCGCAGAGGTGGCCAGCGCTGAGGGCGATGCCTCGTCCAGCTCGCAGTGCCGCAAAATGCCCATAACATGTTATAGAAGCCCCGCTTGAAGCCTGCAAAGGGTTGATCAAACAAATCAGAACATCAAACATAATTACCGATACCGCTACTCCGCGATACTCTCCTGGGGTGCGTTATGACCAGCTGTGGCGACGATGGGAGTAGAAGAAGAAAAAACGCCATACACATAAACTTTTGGCGCTCCGCGCGGATTTCTTGGATCTGCGCTGGACCCCCCTCCCTGGCGCGCGGAGCGCGCAAGGGGCGGCGCCAGAGGCGCCGCCGGGAGGGGCCATGCGCCGAGCCAAGACATCCGCACAGAACGCCACAACTGTATGCTTGTGGCGTTGTTGTTTTTCGAGATACCGCTACTCCACAATGCTCTCCTGGGGTGCGCTATGACCAGCTGTGGCGACGACGGAAGGTTAGCGGCATCGGCACCTTTTCGGTACCTTCTCCTCTTCTGAGCTATAGCTTGGCCCTGGCGGGCCCGAGCACATCCACATCCACCGCCTGCCGAAGATCTATCCCCCTGCTAAGGATAACCCCCCGCCTCGGAAGGAGCGGTAGGGACCCCAAAGGTTACCGACTCCCAAAACCAGGATATAAAAAAGGCAACAACAAAAAATAACGAGAACCGCAATCTGAGATGTGCCGCAAACTCCCGCTTCAAACAACCAAATTAGCGTGGCAAAGGACACAACCGCATGCCTAAATGGGGCCACGACCCGCGTGAGGGGTGTGCCAAAATAGGGGTGGAACCGCATGCGAACTTCACCACTGGGGCCTTCGGAGGAGCTCCCTGTGGGGCCACGAAAAGTGTGATGGGGTGTGCCAAATGGAGGTGGAACCGCATGCGAACTTTGCCACTGGGGCCTTCGGTGGAGCTCTCTATGGGGCCACGAACCGTGTGAGGGGTGTGCCAAAATGGGGGTGAAACCGCATGCGAACTCTGCCACTGGGGCCTTCGGTGGAGCTCCCTATGGGGCCACAGAAGGAGGAGGGCGGAGGAGGAGGAAGGGAGGAGGAGAGGAGGAGGGACGCGGGGCGCTGCCTCCTCAAAACGAAGACCCAACACCACAGGATGGTTGGGAAAAAACCGTCAAACTCGAGATCCGGCGAACTCGTGTCGTTTTCGCTTCCTCACCACCATGGGGAAAGCGACAGGCACCGACACCCTTCCTCCCCGGACCTCTCCCCTGGGGTGCGCCCTGACCAGAATTTGTTGAAAGCGAAGCCGGCGGCAGCGACGAGGGCCCCCCCCCAGAAGGCAGTAGCGACGGGGGGCGAAGAGCAGGACGTGCACCGAGAGGCAGCCGACGGCCGCCAGCTGTTCGGGGAGACATAAGACTCGGGTTCGGGGGACTCGGGTGGGCCTGACGGAGTCATCATCAAAACGACGAGGCCCACTCTGAAATTTGACGCGAGCTCCCGCTGCACACACCCCACGAGAACGGGACCGTCAGAATCCAGGACGCGCTCGTCAAAAAACGTCGGCAAACCCGGCAAACCCGAGATCCGCCTCATCTGGACGCCCGAAATGGGTACTGAAAGAATGGGTACAATGCCCAACAACAAATGTTGTCCCAAACCAACAGCGGCCGCTGTTGGGCAGGCGGCCTCCTGTCTCGAATGGACACAGGCCGCGGCGGCGCGGACAGCGGATCCTGTTCAAAATGAACAGGACTTGCTGCTGGGCATTGCACCCATTCTTTCCCTACCCACTCCCGCCGTGCAGAGCTCACTCGAGTCTCACGCTCCCCCGCCAGCTGCCCGGCCGCCCGCCGGGACGCCCGGGCGCCGCCGTGCGGAGCCCGCGCGCGCGGGCGGCCGGCGGGCGGTCACCGGCCCGCGCCCAGCGCCGCGGCGCGGCCGTGCCCCCGCCCGCCCAGGGAGCGCGCCCTCTGCGGGGCGGCCCCCTCGCGCGAGGAGCCCGAGCCGAAGGACGCCACCGGCAGCGCCTCGGGCGCCGGCGCGTCGGCCTCGCCCGGCGCCCGCCAGGGGCTCTGCGAGGGGCTGGCCTCCCCGCAGAAGGTGGGCGAGTCGGAGACGCAGTCGCTCCTGGGCTCCTCCTCTTCCCCCTCCTCCTCCTGCTCCTCCTCCTCCCCCTCCTCCCCTCCTCCTCCTCCTCCTCCTCTTCCTCTTCCTCCTCCTGCTCCCCCTCCTCCTCCTCCTCCTGCTCCTCCTCCTCCTCCTCCTGTTCCTCCTCCTGCTCCCCCTTTTTCTCATCACCTTTCTTGTAGCAGCTGCACGGCGACCGTGACAGTCTTTCGAACACCAGCCCAAATGTGTAGCTGGAGCAGCGATGAACGTGTAATTATATCATGGGATTAATTTGCCGAGATCGGCTGTGACACCCTTCTTGTCAGTATGTAAGCCTTTACGAAACTCACGCACAGTCACGCCAGTCTCAGTAGGTGGGGCGCAGTTACGCCCAAGGCCAAGCTGTAAAACCTGCAACTCATGCGACGAAGCAGGCGGAAATCATCTGAGCAGGGGAACGCAATCACACGATGGCCGAGCCCCTCCATGCAGGACCCCTTGGCAGAGCCTGCTGCGGCCCGAACATTCAGGTCCTTCAGACGGCATGGATCACCCCCCACCATCACCAACCACCAAACCACCCTCGATTTGCCCTCCATTTCTGGCGGGGGGGGGTCGGGGAACGTTGAAAAAACTCATGGGGTCCTTACCCCCCCAAACCGAAATTCGGGTAAAATTCGGGTCTTCGGGTTGGGTTGGGGTGGTCTAGTAGGTAGTCAGGATGTCGCTCGGCAGCCTCGCAGGCAGACTCGACACCTCCAGACATCACCGTCGTTTCCCAGTCATGCACAACCTCCAGGCGGTCAGGCTTCGGCGGCCTGGGCGGCTGGACCCGCTCGAGGCCTCTGAGCTCGACATTGGGCCCAAGTGGCAGGAGCTCCGCTCCACAAAGGAAGGCATGGCGACCGATATCGACCTAACGCTTCCAATCGTCCGCTTCCGTCGGGTCCGTGCGTGGGTTGCTCTCCGCGCCCTCACGCGCACCGGTGTCAGCATGCGAGTTGCCCAACCTCCGAAGCCGCTCCCCCGCAGAACCCGCCTCCTCGTCAGCTTGTCATGGGCCGCCAGGCTGTGGTAACCCTTGCACAATCGGCCGAGATAGTGGCGCGCCTGCGTGACTAGGCCTGCATACTGACGCTTGGGACCCAGCGCCCCCGCGGCCCGCGGCACCCAGGTTTTGAAACGGCACAAACTTAGAACTGTCAAAATCAGGCCTGGCTGGGCCTTCAGTGTATGAAGCCGCCCAGGCGAGGGCCCCGAACTCGGCCCCTGAGGGGTCTGAGGCCACGGGGCCCAGAAGGGGCCATCGACGGCCCCGAGCCGTTCTCCAAACTCCGAGACCATAACTGCAGCCCAGCCAGCCCTGGAGAGCTCACGCACTACATGCCGCGAACAGGATCCGCCCATGAAAATGTGCCCCCACAGACCATCCCCAGGGACCGCGGAGGGAATGAAACCTGGCCTGCCAGGATCAGGAAGAATGTCCGTGAACCATTCAAGAGTAGCCCCTTCGGGATTTACTAACGGATGTGGAACGGTGCCCCCAGGATGCAGAAACCTCCGCGCAGCCACAGGGCAACTCGTCCGGGGTCATCCTCGGGCACTTCTAACGCGGCCTGCTGAATCCACTTCGGCATGTGCTGGCCCCTCACATCTGGCACGCATGGGCGCGCCCAAATGCGGTGCAAAAGACTGTCCTTGGCGCCGCAACCCACCGCGCGCAGGTTGGAAACCGGGTAGCCTAATTAAGCCAGCCGCGTCGCCTGCTGATCAGCAGGCGCTGTTTGCGAGAGCTCTAGTCACTTCATTATTCGTCCCAGTGATCTTCCAGAAGGCCAACAGAGTCTCGGGGATGCCCCAGCACAGCCGGAAGCCAGCATTGCAATTATCATCAGATTCACGCTCGAGGCACAACACAACAACAACAAACAAACAAACAAACAAACAAACAACAAGCAATGTGACAATATTTGGCGAAGACAGCGTCGGGGAGATCTCGCGACCAAAGTCGCCCACGATGGTGGCGCAGTTGGGCATGGACAACACCAGCCTACACAAGGACATCCTCCATCCCGAGATGGGCCCCGCAGCTGTGGCCCGGGCCCAGTCGCCGCGACTGACGACCGAGAGCAACTCGACCTGATCTCTGCCCAAGACAGGGCCCCATCAAAAGCGCGAGTTTGCGAGATCTACACCTCCGTAGTCCGGCAAAGGATGGCGGCACAGCTGGCCCAACAGGTAGGGCCCCCTGCTAGAACAGACAAGACCGAAAGAGACGGCCGCGGGCTTGAAGCAAGACCTGGCAAAGCGCCTTGCACACCACAGATCGCGGTCAGAGACCCCGTGCAAATCGGGGCCATGCGCGGAGCCCGCAAGGGGCCCCAGAGCGAAGACTGAGACCACCTTCCGCCCGAGAACCGCGCCCAACGTGGCAGGGCGACGAGTCTACCGAAGAGCCGCAGCAGTCCTCGTCTTCACCTTGACACGCCGCTTCGCCCCAATGGTTCTGACGACGATCCCCTTGCGCGACAAGGAGGGGCCCTTCAACCATCCCCCCCCCAGGGCCATAGACCTGGCGCAAGAGTCAAGCGTGGATGGCCAGCCGAACGACGTCGAGGGGGAAATTGCGCCGTTTGCACTTCGCCCGCAAGAAACTTAAATCAATGTGCTCAAATAGATTCCCGAAGATCACAAAACACGGAGAACTTGATTTGGCGTCGGATCGCGCCCGCGTAGGCTCTGAAAGCTCGCCTCCGCGCAACGCCCCCCGCCCCGCGGTGAGCCCCCGCAGCCCAACAATGACGGGTTTTCCAGCGAAAAGCTTCGGAACGGCGGCACCGGCCCCAAACGCGGTGCCAGCTTCGGGAAAGGACAGACCACTCTTTAGTAAAACGTGGTTTAGTGAAAACGACCTCGGGCCCAAACCTGGCGGGCGTTTCTGGAAAATGACGGCCGCGGCGCCCTCTCGAGAACCGAAAACAGACAATTCCCTTATCGACGTGTCAGGGTAGGAGGTCCGTCCACCCCCGACAGCTGGGGAAGACCCCCATAGGCCTGACCCCATCCCCCACGGGTTTCGCGAGCAAGGCCACCAGGGCCCAAGAGAGCTGAACAGGCAACGAACCACTCGCCTCCATCACGGCAAATCAAAAAGACATAGCCCTCAGAGCTTCGTCAAGCAGCAAACAAAAGTGACGGAAGTGAATCCCATCGAGACTGGCAGCGCTGGCGGGGCGATACTTCATTAGAGGCCTCCTAAGTGAGGTCCGAGTAGGTGGAGTCGGAGGATGTTGCCGCATCGCCGATGCATCGGCCATGCATCGGCCATGCACTGGCGACGTCACCGATGCATCCGCGACGCCGGCGTGGAGAAACTTGGGCCCCACATCGAGCCGCATCGCCGATGCACCATCGATGCAGCGGCGATGCGGCGCGATCCACCGACCCCATCTACTCCGACCCCAACAAAGGGGCCTAGATTCATAGGGGCCGCTCGAATCGCGTCGAGCTCGGGTCCTCTTTTCCCGAGCTCCTGTCTCACCCGCTCGTGCCACTCACGCCGCGAAGACTTCGCAGCGGTGGTCCTCGCAGACGCACGTGTCTGAGGAACTTCATCGATAGGGCGATCCAAATCGCAGGCAAGTTTGAGGTCACCCAGAGAGCTGAGGCAACTTCTGGTTAAGCCTGCGGCAACCAAACAAATGGAGCATGCTCAGAGTCGTCTCCCACGGGCGGTTCGGCGAGCGCCGCCAGCACCAAACCGCCCCCCTCAAGAAGGCCATCGGCACCCAAGTGGCACCCGGAAGCTCTCAGCTGACAACAAAGCCAAAGGATGGACCTGAGGGCGGGATGGGATTCCCCACCTCCCTCCCACAGGATGGCCTCCCAGTGCGTCTGGGGCGACTTGGCCCGCGTCCCGAGAGGCGCGGGGGCGCCCGACAAACTGCAGAGGTCCCGCTCGGCCGCGTCGGCCCACACACCACGCCGAGGCGACGGCGAAATCCGAGCGCGGTTGCCGTCGCCCTCAATCACCACCCGGTAGGCTCCCTTCGCCATGCCGAGATCGCATCCCCAGGAGCCGCATCAGGCGCAGGCCCCGCCGGAGGGGCCCCGGGGAGATCGGGCGGGCGGCGGAAGGCGAGAGCCACTAAATCCCAACGACTGGCGAAAACGCATCGAGACAGGCATGCGGGGGCGCATAGGGGCCTCCCCCCCGCAGCATCGACCGCTTTTTAATAAACGCAAGGACAGCGAAATAGGCGCGCCCAAGCGGGCTGACGAGAGCCCCGCTCACCTCGTTGGGGAAGCCGCGCGGCGCCAACGCTCAAGGGGCAAAACTCCAATCGGCCCTATATGATAAACTCGAATTCCTGATATTCCAGAAACTCACCCACGGACTTCAGGATCGAAAGATTAGACTCGGACGGACTTCCACTCTGGCGACGATCGGGCGAGAGGGCGCAGCAGGCCGCGCAACCAGAAACGCGCATCATGACCCCGATGGCACGGCGGTCTGCCAGCGCGCAGTGATCGGACTGCGAAAACAAGCCAGAAGCATGTTTATCTAAGACGCTGACCCCAAATGAAATCCCCCCACCGTCGCCAACAAGTCGCAGGGCCCAACGCGACGCCCAAGCGGGGAGTTCAGCCCCCTGCGAATCCTTGTCAATCTCGCCGTCGCCCCGCAGGCGACGTTCCTGGGCTGAAAGAACACGAGGCGAACAGTTCCCCAGGAAGGCTTTGAACGCCCCCCAACTGTTGGCGCTCGCCGTCGACGACAGCAGGTCCTCGTCGAGCCCGCAACTCGCGGGGCCTGCTTGCGCGGGCGCGGCTGGAGACGCAGGGGCAGGGACTGACCAGCCGCGCGCCCCTCGTCGACTGGAGGCCCTGATCGCGCTTGCCCCAAGAGAAGATAACGGATTAGGGCAAGCGCGCAGATGCTGCCTCAGCAGCAAGTCCATCACTCAGCGCCAGATCTGCCAGGCCTGGGCGAGGAGAAGGGCGGGGATCCTGGATGT